AAACAAATAAAAAAAACATAGACAAAAATACAAAATAATAAAAACTAATCAAGAAAAAATTATAGTCAGTCTTTTAAACAAACTATACAAGAAGATAATACTTAACAAAGTAATTAAATAGGCAAAAGAAAAACAAAACTAGTAATAGAGTTAAAACTAATAAAAAAAGTCATATTAGAACATTATTAAAAACAATTTAGAAAAAGAAATATCAAACTAAAAAAAATGTCAGAAAACTAAAAAAAAACTATAAACTACAAAGCTATATTAAAGAAGAATAGTATATTAAAATTGAAAGAAGAATTAAAAAGAAAAAATAAAATGAAATAATTAAGAAGCTTAAGACAAAAACAGCTTTTGAAATATCAAAAATAAGCTATATTCTAATTAAATAAATAAAAAAAAAGTATAAAAGATGTTTAGAGCCTATGCAAATCTATATTTAAAGGCAGGAAAAATACTTATAAAATAAAAAATAGTACAAATATATCTAATACTAAAAAATATAAAATAAAAACATAGTTTAAACAATATTTGTCTAATTGCATTAATTGAAATATTTAAAAAATTATAATAAAGTCAATAATGAGAAGGCTTAGTAAAATATTTGTTGAGAGAAAAATAATTAAAGAACCAAATTACAAAATAATATATACAACTCTCTCTGCTAATCCTAAATTTTCAAACAAGACTAAAAGCAAATATATTGAAAATATAGAAACAGTTTAACAAATTCTATTCTGACTTTTAAGAAAAAGACTCAGTAGACAAAATACAACTACTTTGTCTTAATAACAATATAAGCAAAGTCTTGTTAAATAAAACTGTAGCTGGCTTCTAAAGATTTTTTGAAAATTTTCAGAAAAATTAAAAAATAGTGCTAAACTCAAAAAACCAAAATCAGAAGCATGTAATCAGTATATATGATAAACAAAGCCAAAGCAACATATCACATTATACCAAACAACAAAAAGTAATAATAATCAATCTGGGTAGCATGAACTTTCGATGGTACCATTGGACTGGTTGAAGCCCATGAAACACTTTCATAGGAACCGAAGATTAAAACCAGATAACAAATATGTATAGAGGAGCACATAACTAACCAGGCCACCGGGTTCGTTGGAGGAAAAGGATACATAAGTATACTATACCAGGCTATCTGGATTAGTAGTCTGGATAAATGAGACCAACGGTTCTGAGTTGTGGCTAGTAGGGGATGATGGAAAAGATGCTGAAAAAGATGAGTACTGGGGTTCTAGTGAACTTTACAAGAATAGAAATAGTGTAACGTAGCAGTTAAACAGGTAACTCTTGTGACTGCAAGTGTTAGATAACTATAGCGTGTTGCATAAAACTAGGTCTAGATGTGTGGGACATAAAGGCTTTAGTAAGTTTCTTATTGAGAATAAAGTAGTCCTAAGAAGACCAATAAGTATCGGGAACTTGAATGGGAGCGCCTTGAGATGTTCCTGTGATACAAGGAGAATTGCATATGCAGAGGGTTTAAATAGGCAAGACCTCTAGTTGGCTTGCAAGTATGGCAACTAGTGTAGAACTTATATAGTAATATGTAAGTGGACTACTTAAATTAGGCACCAAAAGTGCATGTGTAGCTAGTTGTAACCTCCAATGTAAGTGAGCCCTTGGTGGCATGCTGTGTCCTAATATACTTGAATAAAAATATTGCAACTCCTAAGATAGGGACTTTAATTAAAAAATAAAATAAAAAAAATAAAATAAACTACTAATTAAAATCAAAGTCTTATGTACATCATTTTCAAGTGCTTCCAAATTTTCTTTATCACTTTCTAGAAGTTCAATTACATCATTCAGATTTTCTTGATCTTCAGCATTATTAATATTTATGGTCAATATTACAAGCAGATTGTAAAAAAAAAAAGTGTATGAAGCTGATTTTATTATAGAAAAAAAGAAAGGAGAAAAAGAAGAAGAGTGATGATAACTTCTATTTAAAAAAAAAAAAAAATGCATTGACAAAAAAAAAAAAAAGTGCCACAATGACAACTTTAAAAAAATATCCTATGTTGGTAGCTTTGTTCGCAATCAGTGTAACAACTCTTATTTTAAAAAAAAAGTATCTCTTTATTTAAAATTATTTAAAATTGCAGCTTTGTTCCTCTTCTTATAAAAAATAAACCACCTGTCCTTTTTAAATTTTTCTACCACTCATGATAAAAAAAAAAGGATAATTATTTTTAAATAAATATATTTCATGATTATCTGATGATCATTGATTATCAGGAAATTTCGTAATGTACCTGGCTTTAGCTGACTCCCAGATGCCCCATGTTCTGCTAGTCATGCTAGTGTAATTATCATTACAGATATCCTAATCTAATCATTAGTAATAGTTGCTATAATACAAATATTATATAGATAATTATCCAAATTTTTACTGTTGATAGGATTTGAATACCCAACCTATTACTTGGGGAGTTGACAATCTGATCATTTCACTAGGTCACCATACTCCTCTAGTACCTTTTCTAATAAGCTCCCAGATCTTAGTTCATATATATTTTCTCTTATACTGATTGCTATTGCTTTATTTGTCAATTAATTTAGTATAGTTGTTTCTATATCATATGCTTGTCTAATAAATTATTTTAATATATATGCTTGTTTTTTTATTTTATTTATTTTGTTGTACTTTTCATATAACCTAATTGATCTGCATAACAAGATTACAAAGCTTCTCCAAAATTTTTATAAAATTTTTGTTTTTGTCAGAAAATTTATTATTTTTCAAGTTTTGTTATCTCTAAACTTTTTCTACTTGTATTTTGTTTTTTAGCTAGATATAACTTTTGTTGTTCTTTTTTTTTTATTAAAGGTCTAAGTGTTGCTTTCTAATAGATTTTATGATTTTTTCTACATTTTGCTTTTCACTGATTTTTGATTGAAAGATCTACAAGAAAAAGTGATTTTTAATATTCTGAACAATGTCTAATAGAAACTATACTTTTCACTTAAATATTGCATATATTTATAAGAAATTTCCTATGCTATATCATTATTATAGTATAAAAATTAAGAAAGCTTTTATCTATAATATTAGTAATAAAAGAATTAATTCTAATAATTAGTAATATATTAAACTTAAAACTTAATTAAAATAAAAATAACAAAATTTGATTTAAATATAAAACTCTAATAATAAAACCCAAACTGTATAACTTATAACACTATAAAATAACATGCCAAACCTATTATAACTTAAAAAAAAAAGATTTATAAGTTTAAACAGATCTGTAACTAGCAATAAATTCTTTTTCATATATGTAAATTCATATGTTAGTTATATATATCTGATATTGTAATATTTACAAAGTAAAAAACTGTAATTATTACATATTAATACATGTGATCTGCTAGCCAATCAGAAGAAAGAAGTAAATTATATATAATTTTGTTTTTATTTTAATTTAGAAAATAATTTATTTTAACCCAAGTCAAAATAACCTCTTCTGAAATTTAGGGTCAGTGCAGGCCGGGATTATGTTGATGCCGGCCGACATTAACGGCCCACACTAACTTTAAATTTTAAGATAGTCGAATCAAAATGGAATTTCCTATAAGAAATATAATTTAATAACATTTAACCATTCAAATTTAAATAATATTGTTAAGAAATACTATTTTTTATATGTATCTATTTTTTTTAAAAAAATAAGGTCGTTATTAACATTTAAACTATAAAAAGACAATAAAACAGTGATGACATAAATTGCACCAATATAAGGAATTTATGCAAATTTTTTTGGTATTCCTGATTTTAATAATACAGCATCTTTTAAACCGCCAATTTACAATATAATTTAATAGCTGAAATTTCCAGGGAAAACAGTTTAAGGGATAAATAATAAATAAGCTTAAAATATGAGTAAAGTTTAAAAATTTTTTTTTGATTAATATAAAATCAAATTACATAATCCCGGAACACCCTATCTTAGTTTGTATCATGTGATACGTGCTAGATAACTTTTTGCCTGGGGAAAAATATGAATATACTTTTTTTTTATTTCCACTGTTATTTGGCTTAGCCAACTAAGCCGACTTATCCTACAACATTACCATATTCTTTTCACTGATGATACCATACGGCAGATCCACATGAGTTGTACCTGGGGGTATTCTACAGATATAAATCCGACTTATATGCGGATACTATCCATATTATATTTCGAAGAATACATCTTAAACTTTGAGCTGGTGCAAAACATCAAAGTTGGACAAAAAACATGTGGCGGGTACATCGTAAATATCTGGATACATCAGACGGTATTTATTCACGTGATTTTTTATTCTTATGCTGGTTATCATTGTCAATAGCAACAGTAGAAAGACATTGAAAATTACAAAATTTAGGCTTGTATGTTTGACTCCGATTAATGAAAAGGTCGAATTGATTGATAACCAAAGTAATACGTAGCATCATTGGAACTTTTAGAAACTTTCTCTGAAAGGCTCTAAAATTTCACTGAAAGCAAAACTTTATTTCGGTTATGATCCTAAAGTAGATAACTATCGATATTACATAATACACGGATGATTATCACTTATGCACTGATTAAGCTACGTTACTGTTTAGTTTGTTTAGTTCACCCCAACACCTGAAACTAAATATGTATAATAATTAATTGAAGCAATAAGTTTCATAAACATCGTAACATTAAATTTTAAATTGGTAATTTTAAGACTTGTCCCCCAATTTTTTAATTGATCGATCTACGGATTTCTGTATATTAAGGTCAGGTAAGACAACTATTCTAAAAAATTTTCGATTTTTTTTTTTTTTTTTTTTGATAGAACACAAAAAAAAAGGTTTTTTTTTTTTTGCGTTGTACCAGATCTTTTAATTTGTCCAATCAGAATTTCATACCGATACAATTTAAAGGTATTAAAATCTTTTGCACACACTAAAATTTATCAAAGTACATACATACGTGCTTTTTCCTGGAATTCTACATCTTGAAATGAAAGTCAAACATAAAATTCAAAAAGCTCAAGAAGAAGGGAGGCCTTACTGGTCCTTCGAGTATTTCCCCCCCAAGACCCAGCAGGTACCTTCTTTCTTCTAATTGCAAATGATAGACCTTATGAGGAGGCCAATTTAGTATTTATAATCTAATATTTTGACTGATTCATTTAGGGTGTTCAAAACCTTTACGATCGTATGGAAAGAATGTATCGTTTAGGACCGGAATTTATTGACATTACATGGAATGCTGGTGGGACCTCTTCACAGTTAACAAGTGAAATCGTATCTACTGCTCAATCTGTATATGGTTTAGAAACTGTCATGCATCTTACATGCACAAATATGCCTAAAGAAAAGATTGATAAAGCTCTCAAGGTACATACGTGCTTATCTCTTAATCTGTAACACAGATAAATTTGCACATCATTTCCAACAGATTAAAGGTGTAACAATATCGATCAATATATTTTGAACTTAATTTTTATTTGCTTATAAAATGTAGGATGCCAAAGATTGTGGTTGTCAGAATATTCTTGCTCTTCGTGGTGATCCTCCACGAGGTCAACTTAATTGGGAAGCTTGCGAAAATGGGTTTTCTCATGCTATTGATCTTGTCCGTTATATTCGTGCGCAATATGGTGACTATTTTGGGATATGTGTGGCTGGTTACTGTGAAGGTCATATAGATAATCCTGATAAAGATGATGATCTGCGCCGTCTCAAAGAGAAAGTAGATGCTGGTGCTGATTTTATTGTAACTCAAGTGTTCTATGACGTGGATTTATTTTTAAATTGGGTCAAAAAATGCCGGGCAATAGGTATTACATGCCCCATTATTCCTGGACTTTTACCAATTCAAAACTACAATGGATTTAACAGAATTGTAAGTCTTTCCAAGACTATCGTTCCCAAGTTCGTTACTGAAGCATTAGAACCTATTAAGCACGATGATTCTGCTGTAAAAGAGTATGGAATAAAGTTGGCTGTCGAAATGATTAGGAAGATGTATGATAATGGAATAAGTGGCTTCCATTTTTATACAATGAATTTAGAAAGGTCTACAAGATTAATCTTAGAAGCCTTACAATTTGTCGCTCCTGTAGAAAAAGTTAAACCATTACCCTGGTGTCCGGTAATAATTCTATTTTACTTTTGATACTTATATTTTAAATTGCTTATATTTACTTTTCCTTTTGTTTTTTGTTATCAATATTAGTCTCTTTCAGCTAAACGTATAAAGGAAAATGTACGTCCCATATTTTGGAGAAACCGCATTAAAAGTTATGTTACTCGTACAGAAGCATGGGATGAATTCCCTAATGGAAGGTGGGGAGATGCGAGATCTCCTGGTACTTTAAATATATTTAATATAATGTCATTAATTGAAATCGATGCACATATGTAATTAAATATTATATGTGTAAATTTTTTTTAATGAATAGCTTTCGGAGAACTTGATGGATATGGTGTATCTCTTAAGCAAACTGTATGTATTACGAAAATTCATTAAAAATTACCATTCGTAAATGTTCACTAAAGAGTTATTTCTATTGAAACAGAAAGAAAATGCTCGTGAATTATGGGGATGTCCTAAGTCACTGAACGATATTTATACTATATTTGCTCAATATTGTCGTGGTGAACTAGTTTCTCTCCCTTGGTCTGACCAATCTCTTGCGCAAGAAACTGATATAATCAAGGATCAATTGGCCTATATCAATTCATTGGGATATTTAACTATTAATTCACAGCCTGCCGTTAACGGGGTCCGCAGTGATCATAAAGTTTTCGGTTGGGGCCCTAAAAATGGATATGTATATCAAAAGGTTGTATATTTAATTTATTTTTGAATTCTTATTTTTATTAATTATTTCATCGTTAAACTTTTCTAAATTGTTAAATAGGCTTACCTAGAAGTTTTTGTCTCACCGACACAACTTGATTCTCTTATCGCAAAAATAGAGCGTGACGTAAACATAACGTACTATGCCGTAAACAAACAAGTCATATCTTATTCTCTCTCTTCATATACTTTTTCATTGAATGATTATCATTTATATATTAAACTATATATTTTAATATATTTTAATAATACAGGGTGACCTAAAAACCAACACTCAGAGTGAAGGCCCCAACGCCGTCACGTGGGGCGTTTTTCCTGGTAAAGAGATAATTCAGCCAACCATTGTTGAAGCAGTAAGCTTTATGGCGTGGAAGGTATTTATTCAGAATGATTTTTGATTATCTCTTGAAATTTTTAAAATAATGCATTTCGTTTATGGAAACATTAGGATGAAGCTTTCGAACTCTGGAATGAATGGGCAAAAATTTATGACCCAGATTCAGTATCTGTCAAGTTGATAACTCAAATTTCAGATAATTGGTATTTGATTAACATTGTACATAATGATTTCCATGATGGTAGTGGCATTTTTCGCATTTTTGAACCGGACGGTATTCCGGAATTAGCAGAGGCTGATCGTTGAAAACTTACATCCATTTGTGTATATTGATAGAGTCTGGATCAGGATATACAATAAACATAATTGGTATTTAGAAATGCAGTATCCCGATCCATACTCTATTTTGATACTTGTTTGTGAAATCTACTGATTAAGTCTTGAACAATGGTTTTAGATAATCGATTGCATTTATTTAAGACAAATTGGTTAATTTATTTGGTTTAAGGAATCACAAATTAAATACGTTTCACTAACGTTAAAGCTAATAAAATTAATGTGTTTAAGCCTCTTACAGGGCGGTCCAAAATTCCGGATCTGTATCCTAATTTAAGGAGCGTAGGTCCAGATTTATTTGTTTCAAGTGATACAAATCCCAAAGGGATATCACAAGGGGCGTGCCGTTTATTGCGTGATTTTTGCCATCGTTACATGACGTCAGTAGCTCACCCACAAAAAATTTCCGGTCCCGTGATTTATAGCCAATTAGATCGAAAGATCAGGTGTAATGTAAATTCAAAACAATAATGGACAGTCTGGGAATATACCAAATTTGGGGGACGTCTAAAGCGGAGCAGCTCATATTTAATAAAGTTTTCGATTAACTTTAGGGTTAAGGTCTCCTATATCAGGGTTAGTTTAGGTTTTAGGTGGTTATATATATGCAAAATTGCCTTCCCGACATTTTTAATTAATCTACCCAATGCAGGTTTAGACTGCCGTTTTTTGTATTTTTCGGGTTTTTCGTTATTTTTTTTTGCTTCGCCGGCGATTATCAAAATTATATAATTTGATTGGCTGTTAATCACGTGAATTACCACCGCTTTAGACCGGAGAGTCTATGGACACGTACCGATCACGTGATATTTAGCATTATGGAAACTAACTCATACAGGGGGATCCCCAAAATTCCGGGTCGGAATACTTCGGATTTAGCCCGGCATTTAGTTAGCATTTAGT